CCAAGGTACAGTATATGTATCAAGTTTTACTTTGATTTCTAATTTTTTAAACAGGCGATCAACTAAGAGGTAGTGTCTTGATGTAGGACCAGTGCGAACACTGAACAGTGAATAGAAATTTTGACTTGTTGACATGACCTTACGTTGGTGAAATTGGTTATTCAGAGCTAAAAAAAAGAGTGCCATCCAGTTGTCCGAGACAAGTAGATTTAATTTCTTACTGGGCAAGTAACTTTTCATTGTCACTTGCTAAATGGCTAAGGGCTCAGGCGAGTCTTCTGCCAACTAAATCAAAAAAGAGCAAACCAAGACTTGCCCAGAGAAAACAAAATTTGAGAACTACCTGTCCAAAGGGAAATCTGGAATTCAAGTTTTTTTGCCCTGTTATTGCTTCTTGCATTTCGACCACTAAGGGGAATTTTTTGGGAACCAGAAGTAATCACTTCCAAATTGACGAAAATGAACTATAAAATTACTAGTAATATTATATTAATACACAATTTGATAGTAGGATGATTACAATCAACTTGTCTAATAATTTACTAGGCCTGCTTTGATGTCCGTGAAAGTCCTAGATTTTGGAGGCGAATGGCAGTTACTCAAAATCAGATGAATCAACCTGAGTTACTGAAGTGGCTATCAACTCATCCTACCCATAGTGATAGAGCAGACAATCTTGAGGCTTTACTCCCACAGGTAAAAATTTATTAACTTATTTCAACTAATTTTAAATAACGTTGCATGCACAGTTCCTATAAGTTATCTGAATATTCACCTAGATAAGCAAACACAGTAATTCAGTGTCAGCATTCAGTTAAGTTAAATGTTCACTGCTGAGCAATCTTGGTGTGACAGACAACTTCTATGATGCAACCAAAAGCCTTATTTTCCTAGCATGAAGATCCACACTGCACTGCCGGAAAAGCTGTAGACAGGTTAAAGGTTTCGTGATCTACAAAAAAACATGATGTACACGGGCAAGCCTATTTTCATGGCACTATAAGCTGAAACCTCCAGCCAGCATCATGCTAGAGTGATGGACTTGGTGACTTGCTCAAGCCTTCTAAGTAGGTCATATCTGCCCAATACAATGAGCCAGCACCATTTGTGCATGCTGGATCAGACAAGAGTGCAGGCAGACAATGAGTGTAACATACCTAACTCAGTAGAGTGAAAAACAAAGTTTTTAAGGAAGTCCCATCAGAGACTCGACTGCCGCTGATTTTAACTTATAAAGTCTTACAAAGCTAATTAAAAATTCTGTTTTTAATTTAGTCAAGCTTGTACAGTCATCTTGAATGAACTATTTGACATGACTTACTCATGGGTTACGTTTTGGAGTCCAAAGCATTTACCATAATCACCATTCTTAATGGGTGACGACTATTTTCAAGTACAGTCATTGCTCCTAATTGTGTGAATTATTAAATGAATCCTTTTTGCTCCTGAACAACAGGCATGAAAATCTTCAGGTGATCAGCGGCTAAATTCAGAAGGAACACCCAGGGAGGGGGGGGGGGAACCCCAGAAAAATTGGGTGGGGGTGTGCGGCCCGCTGCCCAAAACCCTTACCCTATTTATGACCAAAATCTGCGATTTTCCCTACCCTATTTATGACCTAGCGAAAAATTTGATACCCNGGGGGGGGGGGGGGGTACTCCCCGAAGAATTTGGTGGGGGTGTGCAGCTGCTGCCCAAAACCCTTACCCTATTTATGACCAAAATCTGTGGTTTTCCCTACCCTTTTTATCACCAGACCAAATATTTGATACCCTATTTATGACCATTGCGGCTGACACAGTTGCCCTAAACATAATTTTTGACAGGCTTTTGTTTATGGTCTTATCGATTGGGGCCACACATACCTATATAGCCCATATAAGGCAGTACCCCCCTGGGAGGAACACATCTTGCATGTATTATAAGATATTTATGGTTAAAGGGTTTCAATGAAAAATTTATTTTTGTTGTTGTTGTTGTGTGGCAGGCATTGGAAGTCAGAAGAAGTTGCAACTGTCCCGCACTCCCAGGTAATCTAACAACTAAGTTTCACGACAAATGATGTTCTGGAGTTTTAATATACACCAACTCAATTGGGGGTAACTGGGTCTTCATTGCCTAAGACCGTATGTGACAGGGAGGTAAATTGAAGAAAGAGGAAGAAATATTACAGATTTACACTAAATACTAACAACGTTGATCACTTGCTGATCCCAAAGGGAATGCTTACTAATATGCCAACTGTTTGCTTATGCTTGCCAGGTGTGGCGTGGAATTTCCACCTAAATAGTCACCTAATTTACACATTTTTACTTTGCTTGTGTTCTTCTTATTATTATCTTGCCTTTTCTTGCATATATTTTATCATTTTGCATTCCATTTTTTATCCATCGAAGAATCCAGATGAATAAAATACAACAGTACTGTAGATCAAAATCTGAGCACTTTCAAAACTTTCTTCTCTTATGTCACACTTTTGTAGTAGGTTCCTTTGTGATTACATGTTCCTTTAAAGTTTGCTATGTGAATAGTGATTTAAGACTGATAACGGTCTATGGTTCTAATGTCACATTTTGTTTTTTTGTTATTCTTGTCTACAGGGGAAGTGTCATTTTTATCTCAAGAAGATCGACGTGGGTTCAAAAGATTGCAACATCAAGCTGCCAAACCATCATGATTGATAGGAATAAAATGTTAACACCATCTGATCACTCGACTAATAAGTCCCATTGACACATGACAAACTATTGTTCAGAGGGTTAAGTGCAGTATTGTTACTTTATATAGAGACCAATGGTCGACTACATTTGTAGCAAAAGTTTGAAAATAAATGTGAACCAAAGAATAATTTATTAACAATAAAATATTTAGAAATTCAAAATTGTGTGTAGTTTATTTTGTGTCATTGAATTATATTAAATCAATAATTGGTAATTAAAACAAACCAACCATGAAATGCCCCACATGTGATATTAATAATAATTTTTAAGTAGTACACACAGACAAAACTGTAGGTATGTGTTCCTGCCATGGCTTAAATTTTTTTTTGTTAGGATTTTTTTTACACCAGTTAAAATTTATTTGACTGTAGTTTAGAGCCGTCTCACTAACGAACGGACACTACGAATCAAACTGGTTTACAAACTTTTAAACCAACCAAAAATTTAAATGTGGGGGAGTGTTTGTTTACATTATTTGGCCACATTTACATATTCAGACTCTGATTAAACTACAAAAATATTGATTCTGAATATTGAGAGGGCATGGCATGGTTAACTGTTCCAAGAAAATTTGAGTGCAATGTAGTTAATAATTAATTTTTTGTGAGACAGGTTTGAAATATGAAAGCTTTACAATAAGTGTTTGGGCTCATTAGCACTTTTGCCACCCAAAACTTATGCTTAAGCAAAATATCTCCTTCAAAATCACACCCAAAAAGCTAAAAACTTCATGATAATTACTAAGTTTCACAAGCTCTGTTCCTTTTTAGACAAAGTCATATGCCAATGAGGCAAAAAAGTAAGCAATTGAGCAAATCTTCCTCTAGATAAAATGACACTCAGAAGTACCTTTAGGTAGCAAGTGCCACATTTCTTTATATATGATAATATTAATAATAAACTAGGATGGAACTTGACTAGTAAAACTTCTAAGGGGTGGCTGACCCTTCGCTTAATCCCCCTGCCCCCTGCCCCTCCCCCCTACCACGCCACTGCACATTACAAGTTAGAGTAACTAAAATGATAAATTAACTACAATGTGTGATGTACATGTGTTATTAACCAGGTCTTATTGATAACACAACAAAACCATTCTTAACTATTAGATGTTGCATAAGCTAATTAAAAAGAGAGCTAAGGGAGTAGACCTCATTCACCAAGGCTTCTGAGTACACTTTGAACTTCCTCAAATACCTACATGTATCAAAAGGGAGCAAAAAAAAAACAGCTATTAACATGCAGATTCTCTCTAGTGGTCTCTTATCATTGTGATTAAATGCTAGTGGGGAGAATTTGAGGTCAAAAACATAATTCAGAGGGGAAGCTATGTATATCAACCCAAGCTTGTTTTTATGCAGGTCCTCTGTCCTGGTCAGATTGAAATTTGGAAATGTTCACTTTACAACAGGGAGAAGAACCATGAAAAAACCGTCACAGCATTGTATGAGAACCAAGAAACTCTGCCGACATAATTATGGCACCTGTGGCTCAGTTTTTCTGCATGCCAACTTGCCAAATGGATCTTCCAACTTTAAGGCAAAAGATGATTAAATGTCTAATGAAATAATGGTAAATTGGTCATGCTGCACCCACAGAACTTAAATTTTACAAATATATTTACTAACAGTAATCATTACATCAACAGCTGAGGTGGTCTCTGCTATACATGTAAGTCTGGTAGCTTTTTGGAAGTCTCCTTGCTGCCTTTTTGTTTGCTGTTTTTTTTATTTCTGGTGTGGCAAATAAAACATGATGACAATGATGATGACGATGACGACGACGATGATGATGATGATAACTCTGTATTAATTTTGAAATATCATGTTACTTAGCCTTACCTCGTCTGGAGATTTTATTGCTTGAATCTTTCTAACAAGTCCTAGCTTCTGATAATGTTCTATAATTGGCATAGTTTGTGTTTCATATGTATAGAATCTAGCAAAGAAAATGGAAATATCATACAGTTTAATTTATTATAGATCTCAGCAAGTCTGGAAATGTTTGATGATGATCAAGACTTAAGTGCAATTACTATTACCATGTGTGTGGGCTGCACTTACTTCTGTGCAAAATGGGGGTGCGGCCTATACACAGTATAACTAAAAAAGATGGAAAGTTTTAACACAGCATGTCAAGTCAGTGGATAACAAATGACTGACTTTGAGATAGCAGATAGTTTGAGAAAACAGAGTTGGACATAGCTGGGCTAGAACTAACTGTAATTGCCTCCTTTTCCACAGGTCAGCAACATTACAGGGAAGAGTAAGGCCTCTGGAATGTAACTGGATTAAAATTCTAAAATCAAACTCATTCTTGATCTTTTACTTGCATTGCAATCTGAAGTTCCCTGACCCTGAAGATTTCTTGTTTAACACCTACCTCTTCCTAAGACTTTCAATGTTATCGTCAGATCGCCCACTGGACTTTCCCCGTTCCATTATTCTTTTGATGCACTCCTAGCAAATTGAAGATAAATTAAAACCAGCCCTATGATAAAATATTATTCAACTGTGAGATTTTTGAATTGGTTTTCTTATGTACCAGCTCCTACATGTACTCTCAAACTTTCACCTAGTCAAAAGCGGAAATTTTAAAAAGAAAGTATGAACCAAAACTTGAATTTCCAGAGGGAGGGGAGGGTGTTCAAACTTATAACCACCATGGGACGGGTAAGGATTTTTCTAGAACAACACATAGCATTTTGTAATGCTTTAATGTGAATCTACTTACATCTTCTGCACATTCAAAGAATAAAACACATGATACATCAACTTTTCCTTCCATCACCCTTTTCCATCCTTGAAGGTTATCCTCATTTCTTGGAAATCCATCTATAAGGAATTTTTTGACACTATTTTTGTTCATTGCCTAGAAAACAAAAACAATAATTTCTATCATTTAGGTATATTAATTAACTGATTTTTATATAAGGCTGGACTCAAGGTATTCATGTGCAGATAACCCAGTATCCGACCCTTAATGAAACCCTTGAACTAAATAACAAACATTGTGTATCCCATTCTGTAGTAAAGTCTGCATACGAGCCAAGTGGCTCATTAGGCCGGCCCTTATCTGCGGTTGCAGTAGCATGACACAACTAGGAGTATTTCTACTTCCCCCTGGATGTGATGCTAGTCCATCACATGGTTACCCTCCCGCCTGCATGAAATTTGTCAGTACCCATTTATAGGCCTGAGCTGAGAGAGGCACTGTGACAGTGAAGTGTCTTGCCCAAGAACACAATGGAATGTTCCCGGGCAGGGTTCGAACCCGGACTGCTCGATCCAGAAGTGAGCATACTAACCATGATGCCACTGTACTTCCTCTTAATGAAACCCCTGAACTGATAACTGTACTATGAATCGTTGTCTATCCCATTCTGTACCTTCTCAATCAAGCTGATGGTAATTTCCACAGGAACAATCTTCCCTTCTTTGATACAAGACTCTATAAGATCTCCATTCTCTGACCCACTAGCTCTTTCCTCTCGTAACAAGTCACCTGCTGATAAATGAATGTATCCAAATTCCTAGAAAAATAAATAGAAATTCAAAAAGTTGATTTTGTTGTTGTTGCATAAGAACAGTCTTGAGGAAAGGAGTGAATGGGTGAGGCAAAGTACGACGTGAGGAGATAGAGGAAAGGAGTTAGGCTGAGAGGAGAGCAGAGTGCAAGGGTAGCACAAAGAAGAGAGGTGCTGTGAGGAAAGGAAAGGCACGCAACTAGTCTAGTAGAAAAGAGATGCAAGGCAAGGAAAGGCGAAGAGAGCAGAGCAGAGCAAAGAAGAGAAGCAAGCACGGGAAGAAAGGACTAGAGTAGAGAATCTCATATTATATGAACTTCTCTAAGATGTTCATTCTGTCCTAGTCCTTTTAATAATTAAGGAATCAAATTTCCTGTTTAATAATCAAATAGTGAGTCATCTACCGGTAAAAATTGAAAATAAAGTCTAAAAAGAGTTAATTTGAGAACTCATGAAAAGCTTTGACAGTAGTAATGAAGCAAGGATAGAATGTTTGTGGTAAAAGAATGAAATGTTAAGCTTATTATTACTGGGGACAGACAGTTAGGAACCAAAACACTTGGTTTACTATTAAAAATCTGAACAAAACCTAATCGCGTTTATTTGGAAAATAATGTTTCGATGGCTTTGTTTTAATGATCACAAAGAATCCCAGATATAAATATTATTCAAAGTTTAACTAATGGACCTCTCATAATATCAATTACAGCGCCACGTTTGCATAACTAGACCGCACATCAAGAATACAAATAATGCGCGTACAAGTAAGCTTTAATTTATACCTCTACTATTCTCTCGCATTGAGTTCCTTTCCCGGCGCCCGGTCCGCCAAGAACAAAGATAACAATCGGCTTAGCAGCTGAAGTCATCACCCTTTGTACTGAAGAAGTAAGCCTTCCTAAAAGACAGGTTAGATGAAACATGAACTAACGTTTGGATCACACACTGCGCCTGAAGAAAATGATGTGGATGATTTTCTACTTCGATTGAGTTAGTCCGCTGCTTACAATGCCTGCATCATGCATGATGACAAAATAACACTTACTAGGGAGGTATAAAATTGATTGACTTGCATACAAATTGAATTCACTGTATTTGTAGAGTTATATTATTAAAAGACTTTTGGAAGATACTTGAGCCATTAAATAATCATTTAAGTTTCTTTTTCTGTAGTTTCGAGGCAAAACAAAGTAAAAACTTCTTTAAAAAGTCTAAAAGCTCTGTCCTAACGAATACTGATAATATACCCCACCCCCATATGTTATTTTTGACACTCGAAAACAACATGGCGGCGGAAGAGAACGCTTCGTGTTGCAAATAAAACTAAACCACAATATCGTATCAGTTTTTGAAATGTACTTCCCAATTGGTTGGCCGAAGTACTTCAGTTCAAAGGATGTCCATTGTGGTGAGCTAAAATCCCTAAGATATAACAGAGATCGCTCGCTGCTGGCCGTAGTTTCGGACCATAGTGTGTGCATTTGGAACAACCGAGTGAGTATAGATTACACTTTATAGCTTTTTACAATTTTATGCTTGTGCCTTATAGGATCAGGATGGTATGATGTCCGTGAAGGGGTCTTGAGCAACGAATTTTCCGCGAATTTTCAACGGATAATTAAAATCGGCGGTTGTTTTTGTCCATTCATGTACTATAAGACTCAGATTTAGCTCATCGGTGGAAATTGGGATTTTCTGAAAATTTTACCGGTGCAGATCGCCATTGAGAGGGGCTGTTTGGTGAAGAAAATGTAAGTGAGAGGGTCCTCGTCTTGTGAAATTTTCGTAAGATGGGGAAAATCACAGCATTTGCTTCAATCTTCTTTTTACACTCATCCCCTGCTAAATGTATAAATCCCAGGGTGTCTAATCGATGAAATCTATAATCGATGATAATTGATACTAATCAGTTCCAATCATTATCAATATCAATTAATTGATTGATTGTGGTAATTGATGACCTACTGATGAAGAGGATTTGTGTGACCTGTTATCAAAAAATTATTGTCATCAATTTCCAATGGCAATTGATGGTCTAATTGGTATCGATTTGTTGCATTATGACAACATGAGGTGTAGATAACAAGCATGTTTATCTAGTCTTAGATGAAGGCCTTTTGTGACTATCAATTGATCATTGATTGACCGACACCAATCTATACCCATTACCTAATTTCATCGACTGATATCGATTGATTTATTGCTTTCCCGATTATCGATTTCCATCGATTGGACACCCCGGGAATAAATGTGACCTAGGCTCGAATCAGAATTTGAATACCTCTGCTTCAATTACCTCGAATCAGCTCGAATCCCAGATCTGGTGTCATTCATGGTGTGAGTTTAGTGTTGGCTCTCACACTTTCCCCAGGGGTTTTTGCAGTCTCACAGTCATCAATAACCTCCAGTTCTAAATCTCATCATTCCCTTATTATAACCTTGTCAATCATAAAAAAGATTTCATCCCAGGGAAATAAAAATACTTCATTTTATGAAGTTTCTTAGGAATGTTCGCATTTCTTCTGGATTATCTTTTTGAGGATATTATGTTGATTTCACAGTTTGATCAGTATTTAAGCATCTTGATTGATAAATATTCTAAGGTTTTCTTGTTTATTTGATAATATCTCTTAAGCCAAGAGTGCTGGTGGTTGCCTATCGGCGATCATATGATGCTATTAAAGATGTTGGAAGGAATGTTACTGTTGCCTGGAAACCAGATTCCACTGCTTTGGCCATTACTGTAAGTGAACTGTAGTTAGATATTTGTCCCTAACTAAAATGAAATATTGCCAAGTTAAGACATTCTATATTTTCACATACACAACTGTAACAACATACTGAAAAAGTGAAAATATATATTTTTAGCTTTTAAAACGTCTCTGCCAAACTGATGCTATCATCAATTACACCATTCATTAGATTTGAATTTGCATCTTTTTATTTAAGTTTCCAGAACAGAAATATCATATACATTTACAAATGCTGTTAACAGAAAATGGTATGGGTCATAGTTACATGTATGCTAAGAGAAATATTTTATTCTAAACTGCAAAATGTTGCATTGTGTTGATAGTATTTCTTCTTTCCAGTTTTGTAACTTCTTTTCATATTATATGCAGACTTCTGAAGGAAAAGTTGTATTCTTAGAGTTACAGAGAAGTAATGGGGTTCAACTTTATGTTCCAAGATTTTCAAGGTGAGATAACATAGTCAAATGATCATATCTGGACATGAAATGATCAAAGACATGTAAACTGCAAGCAGTTAAACTCCTGAATTACAGACACAACAAATTGTATCTACATGTAAATAGTTCTTAAAAATAGTTATGGTCAGATTTCCCCAACAGCCATAGAATCTCCTTTTAGACTGACTCTTTCCTGTGCTCTTTTGGCTGTTATTTACCACTGTGAGCTACATTCGTTCATATACATCCATTCAATCTTCTAAGATGACAAACTTTTGACCCACAAACAATATTTACACTTGCTACAATTTGGTGAAAACTGTTTTAATTTTGATATTTCAGTTACTCTTGGCGACACTCTTCTGTGAGTTCTCAGGCAGGTGTGCCCGCTCTGAAACTTGTAGAAATTGCCATTGTGCCCATCTCAGGTGGTGTTACAAGGTACATGTTGTATTAAGTATATTATTGCATTCAAGACAACATTAACGTACCTAACTGCCACCCGACAAGACAGTATAATTATGTAACTCAATCATGGTTGATTGTGTACTGAATTATGAGTAGCATATCTACCATGAGAGACAGTGTTTCATCGGGATATCCAAACACTGAGAATAGAGTTGAAAATATGACGTACAGGGGAACATTTTTGACAAAATTTGATGTGTTTGGATAGCCGATGAAACATTGTCTCGAGTGTTTGGTATATCTTCTCAATCAAAACAAAAAGTAAGGAGTAAACAGAGACTGAAGTAAAATTGTCAAAATCTATGCTTATTAAGACCGGGTATCCAATCCTCCTTCACTGCTGTGATTTTCTTTGTTTTAACTTGATGAAATATAAATGAGTTTGAGAAGATGTGTTCCAAAATCATACTGGGCACATTTAACTTTCCCAAATCTGCTTGATGTACATGTTAAAGAGCACACCAGAACACTTTGCTCTGGCAAAGGGCTATCACTCCAAAGTCAGCTTCGCAATCTTACTACAGTTAATTTACCATTATCAACTTCAAGTAGATTAGTAGCTTTTGTAAGTGTTGCACTTGCCTACTTACCCAGCCCAACAGTTTACTTAGAAACCAATACCTTTGTTTCCACTAGCTTAAAATACCTCTCTAAGATACATCATTCAGTGTGTTCCTTCAGGTGGAACTCTATCACAGATAGATTAGTCATCCAGGGCTGGGTTGTTCAAAAGCCAGTTAACCCTAACCCAGGATTAGATTTGTGTAATTTGAGATAATGCAAGCTCCAAACTGAAGGACAAACAATATAAACAGAAAACCTCATCGAAAAGTTACAAAACTGAAATCAAAATTTTTGCTAATCCTGGGTTGGCTTAATTGGGCTTTGAACAATCCGGCCCAGGTAGATACCAGGATCAAATTCTTAAAACTTATTCTTACTTTTTATGTAAAGCACATTTTAGTTGACATTAACTACATATTAATGTTTTTCTTTTTCTTTTCTACCAGTGTGGCTCCAAGGCATGATGAGTTATTTGTATCGACTGGTAGTGGTCTCCTTCAGCGAGTCAACTGGCACGGCTTGCTTGAAGGAGACATGACCATGTCTATACACTCCATACCATTTACAAACGACTTGGAAAATGCAAGAGGTACATGTAAATAAAAGTAACATGTCTTGAGTAAATTATCTGATTTCTTCTTCATGTATATGTACTGATTTATTTCCATCCACTATAAGAAAGAAGCCACTTGCATATTAACATTTAAAGACAGTATTTATTTCCCTGACGTTAATACTATAAGGAGTACTATAGTTGTAGTCAGGCATGATAAAAATAAGAATTAAAATTTTGTTGTCACTGACTGAAAAACTTTTTGTGTGGATGTTTTGGTTAAAATACTATAACCTTCTGCAGCATAAATGGCTACGAATGCAAATGAGTGTTTAAAAGAGCCGCAGAAACGTCACTTGCGATTGCCAAGGACCTTGTAAATGTCAAGAATGTAAATGTGTTCATTAATGGCATTCGGTTCGTGAATTGAGTGCCATTCTTCTAAAAATAATCTTTTTGACCATTGGGAACAGCGGTCAATGATCTTGATGTTGTCAAGGTCAAATTCATGATTGTTTTGTATGCATTGTTGGGCTAATAAAGAATTCCTGTCTCCTGTGAAAATCGCTCTCTTGTGTTCTCTAGTCCTGAATCTTAGGGCTTTCGATGTATGACCAATGACTGTGCATTATCTGATTTGCATGCTTATAAATATAATTTTGTATTATAAACTGCATGATCAGAAAAGCCATACAAAATTTTCATAGTTGAGTACATGTATGTCATCAGTACATTGAAATTTCAGTAGAAATATCAGCCAAGTGATTAACTTTTAATTGAAAGTTTCTTCTGCATTCAAGAAAATTCATTCAATTCCAGTTCAGGTTACGTTTCGAGAGTTTGCTCACGCAGACTCAACTGCCTGTATTTTGGAGGTGGCCATACACTGTTTTATAGATGTAGCGATAAATATTATTTCTGGTTTCTCTGAGACTAACTGAACTGTCCGTAATATAAGGGTGTCCGTGTTATGGATTATCCAATAACAGGTTCTACTGTACAGAAGTTTGCTGACTATGGAAGTTTAGTTATTCACTTAATATTTACTTGTTCCTCACAGCAATTCCTTTAAAGACTGAAGGGGTGAGTTTCCGCACGATGGAGTACAGTCCTTTACTTGGAGGGTTTGCTGTTGTGTTAGCAGATGGCAGAGGAGGCTTTTTGTCAGCAGACACAGCCAACTTTGAGTGCTCTGTAAGTATGATTTGAATGCCAAAGTTTGCATAAATTCTGTCATTTTTTATGATTTTCTCAATCTTGTACAGTACCTTTCACAGGGTTTCATTAAGGGCCAGGAACCAGGCAAATTGACCAGCTGTGAGGATGATTTTGCCCACCTGGTTTGACCATCAAGAGGAAAGTTTTTCTCTTAAAGAAGTTCAGTTCAAAATGTTTTGCCCACCTGTGAAAACCAGTTGCCCTTTTGCTGAAAATGTCAATGAAATCCCAGCTTTTATTTTCAGGAGGGAACCATTGCAGTGTCTCAGAACTTTGATCATGCTGTTTTAATTTAGAATATCAAGGTTAATTTTTTCCATACCGGCTAATGTATTGTAAGTTGCTTTTTTCTTACTTAGGATATCATTGGTTTATGGGCAAGAGATTTGAGCTCAGCAACTTGTGTTGCTATTAACCATAGATACAGATTGATAGCATTTGGATGCACAAAGTAAGTTAACTGAACAAACCTATACCTCCCAAGATCAGCACCAAGATTCTCCCTACTGTTTTCAGAACATTTCTGTAATTTTTCTTTGAAGAGAATTAGTTTTTGATCAGTAATTCTCTCCTGTGCAAGAGGATCAAGTCCAGGTTACCATTAAGCTTTGACATGTTTCCTCATGTACTGCATTTTAAGGATACCATTGAGAGCAAACAGTACTCAATACAACATTAAGAGCATCAAAATTTACAGTATAATAATTGCAATAAAAATTATGTATAATTACATATTAGGACTTTGTGCTGTCCAATTTGGTAAAACTGGAAACAAAAATTCTGAGAACTGTCAGAATTAGACAAGGCTACCAGATGTCTAATTTATAGAATGATGTGCATTATTTTATTATTTTACTATAAATTATTAATACAAAGTTTTCAAGAGCCACTGTAATAATTGGAAATCACTGTCACAGTGACAAATCTTTAACAAGCTAATAGTATTAGTTATTACTTTCCTTTTTGGTTCTTCATGTCTATTTTTTGCTTTTTTTCAGTGGTGAAAGTCTGGTGTACGGTTTTGATGATCTGACAGGAGGATTACAGCTTTCTCACCGACTTGTTTTATCAAGTAAAGATTACCCTGGTATCCTTCATGAGTCACAGTTAACATGTTTAGCAGGTTTATATTAGACCACTAAAAATAAAATTTATTTTCAGATTGTATACCCTGTAGGTTTTTTAAAAGATTTTTTAAAGGAAATCCCCTGTTTCTGGAACATAATAAGAAACAGAGACAATTTGCTTTAGTATTCCTTGAAGAAAGTACATTCATTTGATTTGTAAGAATGTGGAGTATAGTCAAATAACTACCCCTGCCCAATATTGACGAATCCCGATTTCTCTAACCCTTGAATTTTTGAACCTTCCAATAACTCAAACCAAAAAAATGTTTCCCTTCCCATAGTCAAACGCTGTAATATTTTACCCACGACAGCTAGAACTACCTGATTTTTCAAAACAATTTTTGTCTCCTTTGGAGGTTTGAAAAATCCAGATTCCACTGTAGTTATTCAAGACCTGATGGGATACATGTAGTTTGATTTGCATCTTATTTGAATTCTACTGAGTGGAGTCAGGTAATGGGACTTCTTTGCTGATTACTTTTCAAAGTCTTAGACTTAGGGTTAGGGTTAGACTCTTTTGGACTTCTCAAAACCTTGACCCTCAGTACAGATCCTTACTATTATACCAAACTCTTAAATTAAGACTAAGATGAAAGTTTCTAAGGTGGAGAATTTTGTGTCAGTGTAATTGACCAATAGCCGTTAGGTCATTTCAGATGTTCCTTAACAATACAAAACACTCAGACACTGTCCAGGCTACAGGTGGTATCCAGTGTCTCTCCTGGACTCCTGATGGCTGTGCTATTGCTGTGGCATGGTCATGGGCGTGCCATGGTGGACTTGCCGTGTGGAGTGTATTTGGATCACTCTTGATGTGTACTCTTGGAGGAGACTATGGGTAAAAAAAAATTAATAGTAGTTAATACATGGTACATGTGCGAGTCTGTACTACTCATCAGAAAATTCCTTGTAAGAATGTGCATGTTAAAAAGTGTATTTTATTCTGATCTCAAAGCATGACTAACACAAGCTGTGGTCTTCATGATTGCACAAAACAAAGATATTACACCTTGATAATTGCAGCCAATTAGACCATTATTATCCCTCTGGTATTCTCTAAAAGAAANAGGTCGGTGCGGTGCTCTACCAGCTGAGCTATCAAGCCATCTGGTAGTCTCCTCCGCAGCCATTTTTTGGGATGTCACGCAACGCTCCCAAAAAACAGCTGCGGAGGAGACTAGCCATCTGGGAGTTGGTCATGTTGCAAGTTTGTAATATACCCTAGATGGTGAATATACTAGTGAATAAATGAAAGATCATAATTATATTTGAGCTGTGGAGAAAGATATGGAGACATGATCATTGCAATAAACACACAACTTATTAGCAGTTGTGAAATTAAAGCCTGAAAATTGAGATTGTTTCTTTTTGAGCTACTAAGTGTAATATGTAATTTGGCTTTAGAACTTCACTTTTCCACTTTTGCCATCAATTCATAGCATGTTTCATTTTGAATTCTCCTATTTTTGATCTACAAATTGGGTCAAAGACATACTGGTCTAATGAAGTCTCCAATGCACTGTTATTTGTGTTGTCACGCAATGCTTCTTCTCCAATGGAGTGTTGTACGATGCCCAATAAAGGGCTGCATAGAAGACAAGTCTAGTGGTGATTGCAATGGACTTGGCATTGAAGAAGGGTTTCTGTCTCATATGTTATAATTTCATGTCACAGAGCAACCACGAGCATCTCTTTCTCCAAGGAGAGGAGTGTTTGTATCTCAATACTGGAGACATGGTGTCCGAGACACAGGATTTGATAGAGGGGAATGGAACTAGGCCTGTGATTGGTGGAACTGTTGGGCACAGTACATTGGTCAGTAACAAACAATGGATTGTTATCCAGGTAGGTTTGTTTGAGTGCGTGACTTGGGGACTGTAACGCCATCACTAATTGTATAATTTATTTTTTTTTGTGTGTGAACTCAATCTCCATGCAAACATTTCTTAAGATCTAAAGTGCTTTTGTTTTTTAATCATTTTAGATTCCTTCAAATTATTTGGATAGCAACTGGCCAATCAGGGTGAGTATCTGAGCACAAAAACTGACACTTTTGAGTGTTAGAGCATAGTTGGTAGAGTTACTAATTATGGTTCGAGCTACTTTCATATGACCTTGATAAATTGTTTTCTTTAGTGTTAGCGTTGTGTTTCCTCTGCTTGTAATTATATTTTAAAAGGATCAACGCAAGCCTTGCGCGCGTTTTCTCGCTAAAATATCCCTGACATGGAGGGAGCCTTATTCGATTGACCTATCAGAATGCTGAAAAGGGTGTTCTATAAACCAATCAAGATCTGTGCGCATTCGCCCCCGTTCGGAAAATCAAAACCAATCACTTCGCTTACTTCACTCTTTTTGCCTTGTTTTTCTCGTAGTATGCAGCTGTTGATAAAACCGGACGCTGCGTAGCTGTTGCTGGCAGAACAGGAATCGCTCATTATTCACTCAATAGCAGAAAATGGAAACTCTTTGGAAACGTGTCACAGGTATGCAAATATCATAGCTTATGAAAATACGGGTAGAGGGGCGGGGGGAGAGAGCAGGGTAGGAGGGGACAGGTGGTTGCACTCAGTACTGTATATCAACAGTCGTCTACGAGTCCATTAGCCAGGATTTTTTGATATTTCACCCCTGATTTATCATAACGTTAGATAACGTTTTGTTGTACGAGGAAGACTGATCGTCGATACTATTTCTTATTACCTGTAGGAACAAAGCTTCTCGTGCCGAGGTGGTCTGTCTTGGTGGAGAGATTTTCTCATTGTACCGTGTTACAACTTTAGCTCGTCATCAGATGAAGTAAGCATCTATGTGTTTGTTTGTTTTCGATAAATTTAGATTTAAATCAATTTGTATGAACTGTATTTCTCAATTTCCCATACGTAGATGAACAAAATTCACAAGCAGATAACAAAATTTCCCTTTGAATTTTTTACAGGTTCGTTTTTATCCCAGGACATGCAACTTGGACAATGCCTTCTCGCTGAATGTCAAGCTCCCTGCTCCAGCATTCCTGGTGAATGTGTTTCGTTGTTTGCTGTTGGTGTACTGTTCTGACTGTCGAGTGGTGTTCTTCTCNGGGGTCTTATTGTAATTTTAAATTCTAGCATGGAGAGCTAACATCAAGATGTGAAAATTAATTACGTTTGATTGTAATTTGTAATATATTTTTTTCACAGCTGTGTTATTTCAAGATGCTGTGATTCTTGGTGCAGCCAATGAACCAATGCCTTTAGAATGTACATCGCCTGCTCCAACCTCTCTTTCACCTCAAGCCTTTCCTTTCTGTACGCTAGAAAGAACGGTTAGTCACCTTTTCATTCAATTCAGTCGTAAAGTGTTGAAATTTGAAATTCTCCTCAGTAATACATCAAGACAGCATCCCTTTGTTGATGATTATCGTTATTCTCATCACCTGTATGCTTAAATGTGTTGATATTGTAAGGAGAGTTAAGATCTCGATCCGTCTTAATACCAAGTTCACTGTCTTGCTACTGGAGTCGTGTTGAATGGTTTCATTTGAATTTAATCCGATTGTGCGCTTGCTTTGCTCTTAGACTCAAATATACCTGCATCATGTTTTGAGGCAGTTCCTGCGTCGAAAGTAAGTGTTGTTCCCGTTTAGTCTGTTGTCTAATTTAAACAATTTTGTTGAATTTACAGTACATAGATAAATGAGCGAGCGAGCGAACGAACACGCTAGAGAGGAAGTGGCCGAATGACCGAATGGACGGAAGAACGAACGAGCGAGCGAGCGAACGAACGAACCAAGCACCTTTACAACCATCCATCCATCCATCCATGGAACCAACCAGTGAAACGAGAAGTAGGTTTGGGACCAAATTGAAGTGTTTTTTGTGATAACAAGCAGCTGATCAAGCTTTCACATTTGAGATAAAAGAGTTACCCAAATGTCTCTAACTTGTTGTTTAGATTTTTAGCTAATCTTGGGTTTTTTTCTCTTGTCCTTAGCTTGGGACAACAGGCGTTGAAGATTGCCAACATGTGTTGTGACTTGCCATACTTCCCTCACGTTCTTGAACTCATGTTACATGAAGTGTTGGAAGAGGAAGCCACAGCATCTGAACCCATTCCAGGTGATAAGGACGAGTTAGTTTAGGTGGGGAGGGGTGGTGGCCAACCGTTAATTTGCTGGACTCCAGTTCAAGTTGGGGCTCGGTTTGGGGAGACGCTTAACTTTCCAAGTGTCTTTCTCCACCCAGGTGTATTAATGGGTACCGGCGAATTGAATGCCGGGGGTAACCCTGTGATGAACTAGCATCCCATCCAGGGGGAGTAGAAATACTCCTAGTTGCTTCGATGCTATGTAAAAACGGGAGATAAGCCCAGCCCTAATGGGCCACTAGGTTGGAACACGGAGATAACCTAATTCGTGATTTTAAGGAGAAATGCCATGATATACTTATTAAAGTAGAGAAACAAAGAAGGGACAATAGAGAATAAGGATAGTTTAAGGTGCTGTCCTCTTTCTGATGTAAAACTTGCAAAATACTTTCAAATTGATGGAAATTTCAAAATGATCGTTTCCAGAGGTGGGAAAACACCAGAGAAGTGTTAATAGACCGAAAATAAATAAGGATGGTTACGACTCAGGAAGATTAAAACGTATTATACGAAGAACAAAGTTGAAAAAAGTTGGGTAATGTTTTCAGGAGGTACCACTCCTACATAGTTGCCGTAAGGTTGAGGAAGATTGAGTTAGACTGGGGACGAAGAACTTAGTAAATGCAAAATGAAGGCTAACTATGAGTGCTACATCTTTATAATTGAAGTAAAATTAAACCGTCATTGTTCGTTGTGTTATTGTCTAGGTATGCTTAAACTTCTCAGAATCATGTATATATGATAACATTATTTGTTACTTTATTTAACTGTAAGGGGAATGTACATTCTGACTTTTTCTTTGCTTTTTGTTAGATGCTCTCCTTCCACGTATTGTTCGGTTCATCAAGGAGTTTCCTCAATATCTCGAGACAGTCGTGCATTGTGCAAGGAAAACAGAGGTTGCTTTATGGAGTTATTTATTCACGGCTGTGGGCAATCCACGCGATCTTTTTGCAGTTAAACCTTTAGTGGTTATTGTTGAAAGGAAGTTTAGTCACAGTTAAAGAAAAGTCATGGTCTAAAGGGGTTTAAACTAATACAGACACTTGTTTTACATCCTTTAAACCAGATTCACTTGAAACGAGGTTCGTCCGACCATCGTTTACTAAGTCCCGGTGTAACCTTTAATTCAGTCAGACTATAAAGAGCGCGAGACCAATTGAATTTTTCTTTGCATCTTTCTCGCGCCACGTGGTCGCCTTTGCGATTCGCGCTTTGCTTGAAATGTTCACTGAATCAATGAACGTGGTAGTAAGTTTACTTTTTTTAATCGGATTAAAATGTTTCCTTTTGTCGTTTCTTGTCAGGATTGCCTGGCGGCAGGTAAATTGGAGACTGCAGCTTCTTATCTTATTATCCTACAAAACTTGGAACAACCAACTGTCAGCAAACAGGTATGTGTAATAAAAAACGAAGGACAGACGCCAATGGGCAGGGCTGAGTGTCCGTATTATATAAATGGATCTATAAGGAGAGGTTAGGCTGTACAGTCAACCTCTCTTTATGGCCAGGAGATGGTAATTTTGGGAGTGGGGTTTATTGTAGGAAGTTTATAATCGGAAGTCTTTCCAGTTGACTCACACCTTTTTAACCAGTGGCAAAGTTTGAATTTAGTTAAAGTTAAAATCAAGCAAATTCTGTGCACCGGTATCACCCAATATATTGGGGTTCAGGGACAATTCCAGGTACTTCACACTGATTTGGACGCTTGCGTTTTAAACTGCAACTCCTTCAATGTTGAAATAATAACCGTATCCTTAATTTTTCTTTGTAGCATGCTACCATCTTACTGGATAAAGCTTTGGACAGCTGTAAATGGAATGTGAGTTTTGTGAAGGCCTTTGAGATTATATGATTGCTGCGTTGTGTGCTCATAAAGGGAAATTTTATAACTTTTAGAGGACACTGCTTATTTTCCAGTGTATTTTAACGGAGCTCCCAACTCAAAATTTCGCGGCTCTTGTCGTGTGGCTAGAACTCATTTCAAAAAACCATCCCGATGTNTGTTGAAAGGACGTTTAGTCACAGTTTAAGAAAAGTCATGGTCTAAAGGGGTTTAAACTAATACGGACACTTGTTTTACATCCTTTAAACCAGATTCATTTGAAACGAGGTTCGTCCTACCATCGTTTACAAAGTCCCGATGTAACCTTTAATTCAGTCAGACCATAAAGAGCGCGAGACCAATTGAATTTTTCTTTGCTTCTTTCTCGCGCTACGCGATCGCCTTCGCGATTCGCGCTTTGGTTGAAATGTTCACTGAATCAATGAACGTGGTGGTAAGTTCACTTTTTTTAATCGATTAAAATGTTTCCTTTTGTGTTTTCTCGTCAGGATTGCCTGGCGGCAGGTAAATTGGAGACTGCAGCTTCTTACCTTATTATCCTACAAAACTTGGAACAACCAACTGTCAGCAAACAGGTATGTGTTATAAAAAACGAAGGACAGACGCCAATGGGCAGGGCTGAGTGTCCGTATTATATTGATGGGTCTATAAGGAGAGGTTAGACTGTACAGTCAATCTCTTTACGGCCAGGAGATAGTAATTTTGGGAGTGAGTTTTATTGTAGGAAGATTACAATCGGAAGTCTTTCCAGTAGACTCATTTTTTAAACCAGTGGCAAAGTTAGAATTTAGTTAAAGTTAAAATCAAGCAAATTCTGTGCACCGATATCACCCAATATATTGGGGTTCAGGGACAATTCCATTTACTTCGCTCTGATTTGGACGCTCGCGTTTTAAATTGCAACTCCTTTAATGGTGAAATAATAACCGTATCCTTAATTTATCCTTGTAGCATGCTACCATCTTACTGGATAAAGCTTTGGACAGCTGTAAATGGAATGTGAGTTTTGTGAATTCCTTTCAGAGTGTATGATTGCTGCGTTGTGTGGCTCATAAAGGGAAATTTATAACTTTTAGAAGACACTTTGCTTATTTTCCAGTGTATTTTAACGAAGCTCCCAACTCAAAATTTCGCGGCTCTTGTCGTGTGGCTAGAACTCATTTCAAAAAACCATCCCGATGTCTTTGAAGCTGCGCACCTTTTCGAGATAACAATCGAAAAGTTTGTTGTTGTTCTTATCTAAATAAGCCTTAGTTTCGCGAGCAAATTTTCATTGTTATGTTTTCTTTTTGCGGCAGATAGCGCAAGATCTCGTCCGTTTCCTTCGTTGTATTGCCGCAGACGAACTCGACTCCCCTCCACGGTCCCCAACGTATGTCAAACCACACCACCCCCCACCCTTGAGTCCAACTGCTTCTGTAGACGGTGACGACATTCCTTACGTGGTTAATCCTCACGCGCGCTCCTCGAGTGTCTCGAAGCCTCCTACACGCGCGTCCCTCACGCGTGGAAGCTCTATGGAGAAAGGCTTTATAACAAGGACTCCTTCAACAGAGAAAGCTTCTTTGTCGAGAACAAGTTCAGTGGACAAGTCGCGGAAAGTATTGGCAGCGAGCTCTCTGACTTTACCTACACAGCCGAAGTAAGATAGTAAGGTTCTTTTGTTTATCTCAAACCCCTTCAGGTCTATAAGGACCTCTGTGATTTAAGACTCATCGCTCTTCTGTGTCTCCTCGCAATCCTCCCCTACCTCGTTACAATTTTATCATCGAGACGACTGGGGGCGAAGTTTGCTTTACTGCGGTGTCCTTTGCAGCTGTCATTTCGCTTGCAACGCAACACACGGGCTGCGTGATGACTGAAACAACGACTACAAAAGAGAGAGTATTGTAGTTATACTATATAATTTTTGTTGTTTCTTGATACTGGTGCGACAGATCCTCTCATTTACTTTACTTGTGTGACTTTATCTATCGTCACAGACGACCATCGGAGTTGGACAACCCAGACAACTTCTTCATCGACACCATTTTGAATCGTCACGCCAGGCTGCTGTTAACAGCCATGCGTCTCAGAGACTTGGGAAAATTCGCGGCTCACTTGGAGTTCGCTCTTGAACCGTGGCTTCGTAAAGAAAAGTAAGTAAACGTCGACTGATCAACACCTAATGTCTCCTTACAATTTCAGGACATTATCAGGTAGGCAGGTTATGAGAATAAGGAAAATCATCAGCTAGGGAATTAAAGCAGACCTCGCTACAGGAAGGAAATACCCCCCACCGGGGGGGGGGTACTCCCTTACATGGGCTATATAGGTTTGTGTGGCCCCAAAGGGTATGGTTTTTTAATCTGTTTTGGTCAGAAATAGGTTATCAATTTTGACCATTTTGGTCTCGTATAGGGTATGGATTTTGCACTCTAGTCTTGAATCTAGATTGTTTTTTTTTTAGACGAAGCTATCCCACCTAATAAAACTGAGCATATAAACATTGCCTTTAACATCGGCCTGAACTAGGGAACTAAGGTGGGGCTGAAATGAGGTATTGATTAAAGGGTCAGGTCTGAATGGGGTAGCGAATTTTTGGTCAGCCCATAAATAAGGTAAGGAAAATCACAATTTTTGTTCTTAAATAGGATAAGGGTTTTGGGAAGCGGGCCGCACACCCCCACCCAATTTTTCTGGGAGTACTCCCCCGGGAAATAAACATACTGTAACCTCATTATCAGCATCTTGTCATTGAAAATAGAAAATAAACAAACCGTAATCTTTTATGCTTTTTTTGCAGAAATCGCGCCGCTCGTGTCGATGATTACATCGAAACTTTAACAAGTATCCACAGGAATTTCGATCTTCCTTACCCAGCTGTCAATCAGCTGACAACTGGACCGCTGTCGCCTAAACCTTGGAGTAGATATGGTGAGTGACCGCTCGAATGTGATCATTATTTTATTTCTCCTTAGAGTACCAATATAATGTCAAGCAGAGAGAACTGATGAGAATAATGAAAATCATCAACAAGGGTGTAGTGCTGATTTACTACCGAATTCTCAAGACTTGCCCTACAGGAAATGTATTGGCATCGGAAAGGAGAGGTTATATTTTCTGCTATGGATGTGATGCGATTTGAAATTTGATTTGTTTCTTAATATACATGTATGACAATGCG